TAGGCACCCCTGAATCCCATGGTTCTAGCACGGTCACTTAAACTATTGTAATGGCTAGATATCTGATTTTAATACATATTATAATTCATGTGCTTTTATCAACTTTAAACCGCTTTTATTATTATAGAATTGCAACGTTGTGAAAATGCATTTCGAACCACGTCGTAATCAATGCACCCGTGGTTGTTGACACATTTTGACTCCGTTGAGATTTGGATTTGGGTCGCATAAATACACACCCGATTTTAAGAAAGTAAGATTATTAAGCGCGCGCCTAAAGAGACTATCGTGTTATTATTTTTTGGAAAAAGGCCATGAAATTCGCTAAGTGGCCGATCCCGAGTTCTAAGTAATTAATATATACATTTGTGAGGGCCCCGCAATTTGTAATTTATTATTATTTTTTTTTTTGGCGAGGCACGCCTCATTTTTTTTAAAGGGTAATCCTAGAGTGACTACATTTTGCTAATTAAGTTCGTCTCTAAAGGTGAAAGAGAAAAAAAATCTTAATTAATTACATGCTTAATCGGGCCGTTGTTTATTATTCACCAACTTACGACCATTGTTGACGAAAAATAAACATCACCAAAATTGAAATTGTAAATAAAGTACAAAATTAACAAGTAGTATTTTTCAAAAGAAACTAAACATCTTATAACTATCCTAAGCCCATTTTGTTTAATGAACAAACCATGGGTATTAACTACTTACAAATATTGGCAGCTAGAATTAACTTTTAATTATTAATGCTCTTTCGAAAAAATATTGAACTTCAATATTAACTCATTTTTACTCGACTCATGCCTATTGGATTAATGTTCTTAGCCTTGCTATATTGATTCACTCTTCAAATATGCTAAACCCGCTAATTCTACAAGTTAAGGGTCCCTATGTTTGCCTAAATTTGCGGGTCTTTGTTACTTAAAGATTCAACAATTACAAAATTGCGAATTACTTCTATTCTAATGTCCGCGAGTTCAAAGCTAGCTTTTTGTTAACCAACCACTATTAAATTGATATCCTACCTGGATTATTTGCCAAAATGATTCCGAACTAAGGTATTTGATAACACGCATTAACAAAACTAACATTATTTAACTATGAAACTCACGCGAGACTTAAAAGTTCATAAACCTACAGCTTACTCAAATTGAACACACATATTATACTAATTGATGCTCATACCTTTTCAAGGAATTCAGTTCCACAATCTAATGTTACTTATCAATTATTGCTAATAAAATGATATTATAAAAGAAACAGTCCTACTTATACAAATGTCTAACATTCATTTAACATAAAACACATAATTAAAGTCTATCTAAGATACAAAACATGCTAAAATTCTGCCATCTCATTTCATCTTCAAAGTGTACATCAAAATGGTTTGTAGAAGTGTACCTGGTATGGACACAAGAAGAAAAGAGGAAGAGTAGCAGGAAGTGTGCAACAAACAACAACGCAACAGCCACAACAGTAATTGCTAAACTAGTAATCAGAAATCCCAATAGTATTGGAAAACCAACTTGTGATTTTCAGAAAAACCCAACAGATATACCAGAAACTCAAGAATGATACCAAAATACCGACAATATCACAAGCAAAAAAAACAGAATGTATTCAGAAATGAAATATGACAATAGATTTTCTGATTTCCGTTCTTTCGGCTCCCAAATAAAGACACTAGCCTCTCAATTTAAACAGTAACAAACTGATTCTGACTTTCAATAGTGAAAGAAAGTAGATCTCCCCAGTCTAAAATCTCAAACTCTGGAATTTTTTAAGGTTCAAAAGCCCTATTTCTGTTTTTGTTTTATTTCTGAAAATCTGCTCTCTCCAATTTCCCTCTGAAAATTTCAGCTTATATCTTTACTTAAACTTTCTTTCTTAAAACTAGTTCAAAAACTCAAAGTGTTCCTTTTAGATTATTTTTCTTTCTTCAAACTTCTCCCCCCTCTTAAAATCAGTCCCCAACCCCTTTTATACAAATCTGCCCCCCTTTTCCTTACTCAAATCAGAATTTTTCCACTAAAATCTGATTTTTTACTTTAAACCTCACTAAGGAAGCTTTTTTACTTATTTTCAGCACCCCCATTCCCTTTTGTTCCCCATTAGTGTATTAATTAATACCCCCATTAACAAAGCACTAACAATAAAGTATAATCCTAACTATTTCATTCCTAAATCACCCTTGAAAACCCTTTGATATTACTGACTTCTTAATACAATTATTCAAGTGTATTAAAACTTTTAATTATAAAATCTATTCAAACTAACAGTTATCTAAAACTAATTCTGACTAACAGCTATAACCAAACTTATTGATAGCTAAATGACTAAGGTTGAATCCCAATTGAAACAAACTGAAATGAATTTAAATCAACACACAGAACTCAACAGAATCATTTAAACTAAAATTGAAACATTGAATCAATATCAACATGAATGTAGGTTCATTGTCAGCCTACTGACAATGCCATGAAGCTAAGTGTTCACAGATCAAGCATACACCACAAACATTTGACGAGCTTATTGGTTTACAAACAAGAACGAATTAATCGACGAGAACTAATTAACCGATTATCTATAACAATTGATAACAATCATCCTGAAAACAGACAATCAGGCAATTTCAATCAGTATTGACAAGAACAGAGGTTTATAATAAAATGACTAATCGACAAAACTTATTTGAATTGATTATGCAGCCTATAATTATACACAACAAAGAACAGAAACAAATTCTACCAAATAAAAGGGTCTGATGGAGAAGGAAAGAAGAATCAACAAAACTGAAAAATAAATATAACAATACTAAACACATAAACAGACACCTAAAACATTAGAAAAATAAAAATAAAAGAAAAAGGAAAAAGGAAAAATACCTTACATAGAACAAAGAGCAGACGGACTTGAATCGACTCAGATTCGAACTTCTTTTGAGGTCAAACGGACCTTAATTGAGTGTTCTCAACTGAGAACACTTCGACTAAGGTCAGTTAAACACCCAAAACCTTTTAAAATTCGGACAGAAAATAGTTTTGGTTTTTTCTAGGGTTTTGTTTGTTTCGATTTGGGGTTCGAGTGTTTCTAGCTAGATTCGAAGGGAACCAATGGTGGTTTAGGGGTGAGGGAGGCCTGGGGGTCACCTGGTATGAATTTGGAACGGATCTGGGTAAGTTCATGTTTGGCTCGAATCTTCAAATGAAGATTCGAGAAGCTCTGAGATGATTCGAGCCAAACGGTTTGAGGATTTATGTTGGGGGTGGTTGGAAGGTCACAGGGTGTTAGTTTGTGATCATCGGAGACGATTGGGTTTTCAGGCCAACCTTTGATTTAAGATTCGAAGAGTTGGGACCAAATTCGAGGGGAGTTATGGTGATGGTTGGAAAGAGGAGGTCGAGGTGATTCAGGGTTGTTAAGGTGGTGGCCGGCGGCGTAGTTGCCGCCGGGTTTCAGGCGAAGGGGAACTAGGGCGGCTAGGGTTTGGAGGGGGCATCGTCTCAGAGACGATGATGAACAGGAAGACGAGGGGGGTGTTTGGTTAGGGGGCTGGGTTAGGAATTGAATTTATATAGGGGTGGGGTGGTTTGATCTCGGCCGTTCGATCAAGAGAGATCAATGGCCTAGATCAATTCACTTAAAGGAACGACGTCGTTTGGCTCAGCTGTGAGACTGGGTCGGTCTCAATTGAGAATGGGTCGGGTCATAAGATGTGTTGGGGACCGTATGATTAAACGATATGAACGGCTCAGATCAATTTGCCTAAAACGGCGTCGTTTCAACTTAGCCGGGGCTGAACTGGACCGTTTGATTGAGACAAATCAATGGCCCAGATTTGAGATGCAAAAAGGCGTCATTTGGTTGGATTCTGAGACTGGTCGGTTGGGCCTGGGTTGGGTGTGATATTGGGCCTGACTTCTTTTTAAAAAAACTGGCCCGGTCCGAATTTCTTCATATTTTTGAACTCTTTTCCTTTTCCTTCCTTAATTTTCCAATTTAAACACAATTCCTAATTAATTTGTAAAATCAAAAATAAAACTAACACAAACATTAATTAACACTTACAACAATTAACACACAAATTAAAACCTTAAAATAAAATCACACAACGACAACAAATAGAATAACACACATATTTTTATGATTTTCCTTTTAGAGCCAAATAATGGTTTAATTAATTCTTAAAGGCATAATTAAATTCTAGATATGCATGCAACATGTATTTTTTTATTTTATTTTTCAATTAACTATAACAAGGTAAACATTTACGTAATTAACACAAATAATTATCCAAAAATGCCACATAAATCCTACAAATTGCACACCAAGAGAATTTGTTTTATCTTTGATTTCTTTTGGAGTAGTTTTCGTGAAGCAAAAATCACGTGCTCACAATGATTATGTACTAACAACATCGTGTAATAATAATAGTAGTTATGGAAATAAATGGGTGTTAAACTCTGCTTGTACTCTGCATATGACGTTCCGAAAAGACTAGTTTAGCAACTATGAAAAAAGTGGAGGAACCGTAGTAATGGGCAATAATGCAACTTGTGCAATAGTTGGCATTGGCTCAGTTCGGGTTCGCTGCCATGATGGAGTCGTGAGGACTATTACACAAGTCCATCATGTTCCTGATCTGAAGAAGAATTTGATCTCCTTGAGTACTCTGGATGAACAAGGCTACAGGTACATGAGCGAAGCAGGAATTATAAAGGTGACTAAAGTTTCTTTAGTCATGCTGAAAGGCAAGCTGGAGAACGGCCTTTACACATTGGCCGAAAGCACCATTGTTGGCTCTATAAATACATCTACAGTGAAGTTATCTAATGATGACAAGGCAAGACTATCGCACATGAGACTAGGTCATATGAGCGCATGTGGACAGGAGATGTTGAGCAATCGTAACCTTTTGGAAGGTGAGAAGATCAGCACACTTGACTTCTGTGAGCACTGTGTTCTAGGGAAGCAGAAGAAGGTCAGAAGAAGCACTGACAAACACAAGACAAGAGGAGTGCTAGACTACATCCATTCAGATTTATGGGGTCCCTCTAAACTTCCATCGAAGGGCAGAAAGAGGTATCTTCTCACTTTTATTGATGATTTCTCACGAAAGGTTTGGGTGCATTTTTTGAAGGCAAAAAGTGATGCTTTTGAAACATTTAAAGAGTGGAAGATTTTGGTTGAAAATCAAATGGAGCGGAAAATCAAGTATTTTCGCACAGACAATGGCTTGGAGTTTTGCAATGAAGNACGTTTAATGAATTCTGCAAGGCTCATGGGATCTCAAGACATAGGACTGTCAGGCATACCCCACAACAGAATGGAGCTGCCGAGAGAATGAACAGAACTCTTCTTGAAAAGGCTCGTTGTATGCTCCTACAAGCCAAAATGTCCAAAGTATTTTGGGCTGAAGCAGTTCACCCTGTTGCTCATATTGTCAATCGATCTCCAGCATCGACAATTGACTTTAAGACTCCGAATGAGGTATGGTCAGGTGAACCCTCTAACTATTCATACTTACGAGTATTTGAGTGTCCAGCTTACTATCACGTTAATGAAGGAAAGCTTAAACCAAAGGCTAAGAAGTCCATATTCGTAGGATATGTGGATGGAGTAAAAGGGTTCAAACTTTGGTGTTTGTCTTTACTCAAATTTATAGTTAGTAAAGATGTCACCTTCGATGAATCCTCTATACTTGATCCCCGTAAAGTGTCCGTGGAGTTTTCAGGAAACAAGAACGACGAGCAGGTAGAGCTTCTGGTGGAGCTTGCCAAGGAAAAGGATCAAGAGACTCAGGTTAAAGATGAGTCAAAAGATGTAGACCTTGAA